CCTACCCCTTTGTTTGTCTTTGAAACACCACCTCACGGAAACATTATGGGGTTGGGACAGAGCAAAACCACAGTTTTTAAAACTATGATTGAGAACTTTGAGAAGGAGTTTTCGGGAGATTATGGAATTAAGGTGACTCCTAGCAAATTAAGGACCTATTTGAGTTGGAATGGCCCACTTTTGGGGTAGGATGGCCTCCGGAGGGAACCTCAGATGTCCCAGTGGTCTGCCGTGTCTGGCATGTTGTCACCAGAGACCCAAGTTACCCTGATCAGTTCCCGTATATTGACTTCCGGTTAGAGATTGCCCAAATCCTCCCCCTTTGGTGTGATTTACCTGCAGTGAACAGAGACAGGCTAGGGTACAGAGGTCCTGACCTCCGCAAATTCTCACCAGTGATCTGGAGGAAGAACCAATTTTGCCCCTCCGTATGCTCCCCTGAGACTGTCAGCACCTGCCCCTGCCCCGCCCCCGCCTCCCGATACTCTGCCACCTTCAGCCTCCCCACCACCTCCGGACTGGACAGAGCCTCTCTCCCCTGGGCCAGCGGCCAGATTGCGCCCTCAGCCGGGTGCAGGTGCTCTCCAGATGCCGGTACGAGAGACAAGGGAACCTGAGAGAAGTGATGAAAATGCAACCCTCCAGCCTGGCCACTCAATGATGTATTACTAACCTTTATCCACTACTGATCTCCTCAATTGGAAACATAACACCCCATCGTGTTCTGAAAAACCGCAGGCAGTGATAGACCTAATGGAGTCCCTCTCCCAGACCTACTGACCAACTGGGAAGACTGCAAACAGCTGCTCCACACTTTGTTTAACCCTGAAGAGAGACGGAGAATTAGGAGAGGAGCTCAGCAATACCTTGATGAACACGCACCAGCCAGGGTTGTTGATCCTGGCACCTGGGCTAAAACTGCTACACCTGAGGAACGTCCCGCATGGGCCTGCACTACAGGAAAAGGACAAGTCCACGTCCGCCAGTGCCAAGAGGCTCTCCTCTGGGAGACCCGAGCAGGGGCTAAGAAGCCCATGGATTTGACCGAGATATCCTCAGTCACGCAGCAGCAAGGGGAATCTCCCGGGGACTATTGGGAGGGGCTATGCAAGGCTTACCGCATTTACACTCTGTTCCATCCCAAGGCACAAGAAAGCCAACAGATGGTAAACACCTCTTTTGTGGCCCAAGCCACCCCAGATAGCAGAAGGAAGCTCCAAAAACTTGAGGGTTTCAGTGGAATGAACATCACGCAGTTGATCGAGGTTGCTAACAAGGTCTACATGAACAGGGAGGACGCTGCCAAGAGAGAAGCCGAGGAAAAGATGAGGAGAAAGCAGCCTCCTCACTGCTGCTTTAAAGGAAAAGGAGTATGAAAGGATGGAGAAGGTCTCACCACCAAAAGGGGGGAAGCCCAGGACCTCCTTAGCAGGGGATCAATGTGCCCACTGCAAGGGAAAAGGACACTGGAAAAAAAAACAAATGTCCTAGCTGGGGAAAGTCTCAGAAACCCAGCCGATATGTAAGAGAACCCTGCAGAAAAGACCTCATAGGGCTAGCAGGAACAGATTCAGATTGAGGGGGACCAGGCTTACTTCTTGGCCTCCATGAGCCCACGGTCAAAATGAAAGTAGGGGGCCAAACTATGACTGATACAGGGGCTGAACATTCTGTGGTCACCTCCCCCGTGGCCCCCTTTAGCAAGAAGACAGCTACCATCCTCAGGGTCACAGGGAAACAGGCAATAACAACAGCCCTTCTGCCAAGCCCGTCAGTGTGAACTTGGCGGCCACCCAGAATGGCATGAGTTCCTCTACCTACCCGGGTGCCCTCCATCAAAAATAAGGAAGAAATACTAAAACTCCTTGAGGCCATCTGGTTCCCAAAAATGGTTGCAGTTCTACACTGCAAAGGACACCATAAAGGAGATGACCCTACAGCATGAGGAAAATTGCCTGGTGGATGAGGCAACTAAGGTAGCAGCCATTAGGGAGGCAGACAAGGTCCCCTCCCTTACTATGACTCTGACACCCCCAGCAGAGACCCCTCCATCAAAATAAAAAAAATTAAATGGGCTGAAATTGAGGGGGCCACCCAGACCAAGGGAGGATGGTGGAAACCATCTTTGTCCCAGTGACCCGCAGAAGGCATCTAGTTGGTGAATACCATCAACTCACCCATCTAGGAAGAACTCCATTAGAGGCCCTCCTCAAAAAGCAGTACTGCATCAGCCAGCTGCCAGCATGATGTCAAGCAATAAGTGAATGGTGTGTGACTTGTGCCAGGTATAATGCCTGATCCGTGCTGCGACACCTGCCAGGTGTCCAAAGGGTAGGAGCTACCCCCTTTACAGATCTAGAAATAGACTTTACAGATGTCCAGCCAAGTTGAGGACTTAAACCCCTCCTGGTAATAGTCTATACATACTCTGGATGGATTAAAGCTTTCCCTAACAGGACAGAACAGAACCAGGAGGTAGCTGAAGTCCTCCTAAAAGAGGTCGTCCCCTGGTTCGGCCTGCTGTCCACAATCCCCAGTAATAATGGACCTGCATTCATGGTGGACATTATACAAACTTTAACCAACTCCCTCAACATCACACTGCTTACCGGCCTCAAAGTTCTGGGAAAGTAGAGTGAATGAATTGCACCCTCAAGGGAACCTTAGCCAAGTTCTGTCAGGAAACAGACCTCCCATGGCCAGAACTGTTGCCCCTGGGCCTCCTGCGTGTCCGTTGCACACCCACACCAGGAACTCAAGGTTCCTCCCCCTTTGAACTAAGATATGGAAGGCCTCCCTCCATGTCCAGGGAGCCTCCCAGGGAACCTACACCAAGTAGGGGATGAGGGAAAAAGAGAGCAACTTCAAGTGTTAGGGGCAACCCTACATAAGTTACAGTGATATACCATAGAGAGGGCCCCAATCTCTTTAGGATCCCTCCCACCCCCCGTACACCCTTTCTCACCGGGGGACTCCTTCGGGGTCAAAGATTGGAAGAAAGACCCTCTCAAACCATGGTGGACTGGGCCTCATACTGTTATTCTGACCACCCCTACTGCCCTCAAGGTCACTGATATCATTCCATGGGTTCACCACTCCAGAGTCAAGAGGGACAATCTTGAGAAGCCCCAAAACCTGGAAGACTGATCCAAGTCCGATGAACCCACTCAAAGTGACCTTTCGGAGAGTCCTAGATTCTTAGGATCTATAGCCCTGCTCCAGCCACACCCTGGAAGCTGACTGGTCTATGCACAGCAGATGCTTGTGGAATCGCCATTCTGATAAGATAGATTGTCCTTCCTCTTTGCCGTCGGGTTGGCAGAGGTTACCCCAGAAAGCTGGGGAAACAGCGAGAGGTTCCTGTTCACACTCACCTTCTTCTTATGGATAGGGTGTTCTGTTGATATTGACTGCCTCTAATCTGGGCCCCATTTGTAAGAGCAGGGCACCTTCAGTGGAAGAATCTAAGGAGTTTAAAAGGTTAAATGTGGTATAACCTCTTTCAATTTGTTGTGTTGCCTGCCGTTAAGGTTGCTAAGGCCATTGCTAAGGGAAGTGTTTGTACTGATGTCTGTGCCTCACACTTCAAGAAAAAAGATTGTGCTTAGATTTACCTTCAGCCTTAAGGTTCAGGCTGAACGAGCAATGTTGCTACCCATACTCATAGGGGCAGAAATAGCCAAGGGGACAGAGACTGGCATAGGAGGCATAGGCTCTTCTGTGGGACCAACAGGTGGCTGACTCCCTAGTGTTCCTCCACAGCCAAATAAGTTCCCTGGCAGGAAATGCCCTCCAGAACAGACAGGCACTTGACCTCTTCTCTACCAAGGAAAAGGCCACCTGCTGTTCATCAGAGACTTTGTAAACCAGTCAGGAATAGTCATAAGCAAAGTCAGGGAACTGAGGAAAAGAACCGGTCCATAATAAAGATTATGCCCTCTAATACAGACTAGATCTTTTTTTTTTTTTTTAATTTTTTTATTTCTAGGAGAGAGAGAGACAGCGTGAGCAGGGGAGGGTCAGAGAGAGAGGGAGACACAGACTGAAACAGGCTCCTGGCTCTGAGCTGGCAGTCAGCACAGAGCCCGACGCGGGGCTCGAACCCACGAACCTCGAGATCATGACCTAAGCGAAAGTTGGACGCTTAACCGACTAAGCCACCCAGGCGCCCCCAGACTAGATCTTTTTAAAGGGGCATCAGAGCAGGGGGAATGATAGGGAAAATCTGTTGTAAGATGGCTGATCACTTCTCCTTTGAAGAAATAATAGGGAAAATCTGTTGTAAGATGGCCTACAGGACTAATAAGAAAACACCTGTCCCTGATCAAAGACTCCCCCTTCCCAGTGGTTCTTCCCACCCTGCTTGTCGCGTGCATTAAGGAGCAATGTGGAAGGAACAGGCTGTAAATTGTTCCCTCTGCTAATGCTCTGGGCTCAGACCTCTGGAGAATGATTTCCTCTGAGCCCACCAGTGTAAAATAAACCTCCTGCCTTCCAAGAGCTCCAAGTACTGCTTGGTTCTTCCACCGGGTGATCCAGGACAGTTGGATTCTGGTCCTTCTCCAGGAGGCATGGGGAGAGAAGCCTGAGTTAAATATGCTCAGGTGATACAGAAGGAAGTGCTTTTTCTCAAAACACAGTTGAAGATGGTAGAAACATAATTCCTGTTCTCATGTTTATAACCACATAGTTTGACACCTGTTACTTTTGTCATGTTTTTTCACATGTCCCTTGACCACAACAACTTGCTACAAGAGGGAGTTAAATCACCTACAGCTCAGGGGAAGAAATAATCACTTCCAAAAAGTCTCTCTGCTCTAGTGTGTTTGAATTAAACACAGATCTGTAGGTCCATCCCTGGGATCCCTGGGATCCTGTACATCTGAGGGCTCTTTATTCAGTTATCGTGGGCTCTCTTTACTCCTCTGCTTGTGACTTGAAGGAGCTTATAAGAAGTTTTAACTTCTGTGTTTATGGACTTCTTTGTTCTTATTTTATAGGTGAAAATTACCAGTTCAGGCCTGCTCAATATTGCATATATCACAGGAAGACATAATTGTCAGTATCCAGAAACCATTCTTTCTTTTATCAAATGTGTGATTCATAATTTTTGGACACCAAAGGAGTCAAATGAAATAACCGTAATCATCAATCCATATGGAGAGACCATGTGCTTCTCTGTGAAGCCTGTCAGGAACATATTTATCTATACAATTAGTGTGAATCGAAACAGTAAGTCTGTTTGCATTATACTTGATTTTATGGATTTAGTTTTTCTGGAGTGACATTTCAATAAAGTGACTTTTCTTTTACCAACTACATTGACACAATGTCTTTGTTATGTGTGTGTATGTCTTTTTTATTCCAGTTGTGGATTTCAAACTCTTCCTTGTGTTTGCAGCAGGTGTTTTCCTCTTTTTTTACGCAAAGACCTTGAGTCAGTAAGTATCCCTTTTTACTTTATTAATTTTGTAAATTAAAAAGAGTATAGGACAATTTTCACCCTATGCTAAATATTTCCACACTAGTTTGTAGTTCTTGCTTTAGGTTTTACAAACAATAAGTCTGAAGATAGTGCTTGAAAGGCCTTTAAAAACCAGGAACAGTACACATGACATGTATGTATATATTACAGTGTGCTTTTATATGCGTGATTTTGTGTTATGTATTCATATACATTTTTTATTCGATCCTCTGAACAATTATGTGAACTTTGTATCATTGTTCTCGTTTTATCGATGAGAAAACCAACATTCATCATCACATGGCTAGTTCTTGCTAGGGCTGAGATTTATATTCAGGTTTTCTTATGCCAGATGCTTGCTCTCTCTGTTAGATTCAAGCTGCCTCCAAGATTTGTGACTCTGATCCAGAAGGTTGAATTTAACAAATATTTGACTCTTAGATAAACATAGCATCCTGATAGTTTATTACAACTTCTCTCATGAAAAAGGAGTCTTTTTCTAATACTGTTTTACTTCTTAGCTTGCTATTCTTAATATTGTTCATCTTCCATGTGTAGTGTAATTAAGTATGTTTAATGTAATCTGTGGCCTTTACAAAACCGATGTTAGTTACGTAGCCTGACTACGTAGTAGTCTACGTAAGTAGAGCTTGGACTCAGAGGAGCTGGGCTGAAGCCTGAGTCCTGCAATTGGCAGATACTGACTTAGGGAAGGTCTTTAACTTATTGGTGCTTACTTTCCTCCTCTGTAAAATGTAGGCATGGACAAGTGTTTCATAGGGCTGTTGTGAATGCATGCAAAGCTCTCAGACAAGTGCCTGCTACATGACAGGTACTCAGTAATTATTCTTGGATCAGAATCTAAACACAGAAGATAACTCAGACATTTTGTTTTGAGTTAGTGGCAGCTATTTAACATAAATTTCAAGCACAGAAATTTCATTTTTTAAGAGTATAAGATGTAATTAAAACTAACATCTGAGTTTTTCTTCTTAGTATTCCTTATAGCTGCTGTCATCAAGTTAAACAGTTTTAATACTGAAAGTGCTGCTTGGCATTTAAATAGCTTTTATTTGCTTGTTTTGACAGAAGTCCTGTTTTCTTTTACTCTTCTGGGACCGTGCTAGGTGTTCTAATGACATTAGTCTTTGTCCTGCTTCTGGTGAAAAGATTTATTCCTAAGGTAGGCATACTGTGTGTAAGTGAATAAAAGAGGGAAACCATGATCTCATAGACCTGAAAAATGGCTCAAAGTTAATTCACGTTGATTATGACCATTCCTAATTCAAACTGTTTTTCTACATTGTATTACAAAATTGGCTTTTAAAATAGATCTTTTTCTAGAGATTCCATTTTTATTTGTTACTATATATACCCTTCAGTAAGTATGACTTTTGTGATGCTTTGTTTTGAGACCCTTTTATTTTCAGGCAATAGATCTTTCTTAGGAGTGGCAGGGGCTGATTCTATGACGAGTAGAAATTTCTCTTGTCTTGAGAGCTGAGGAATGTCGTGATGCTGAACCATCAAGGCCTTGAGTAACAGCATTGCTACAACTGGGGATTTCTTCATTATTCTTAGTTCCCTGAAACACCTTCAATGAAAGAATGCACTTAGTTGAGGATAAATATTAGTTCATGCTGATAATGTTGCAGATACTGTGATTAAAGCTTGCAGCACCAGCATTATTTTGAGATAAATTTATTCTTTAAAACAGTGCTTTTCCACTTTTAATATGCATGCAAGTTACCTGAGTATCCTGTTGCGATGCAGGTTCTGATTCAGGAGTCTGCCTTTGGGCCCGAGAGTCTGCATTCCAGCAAGCTCCCGGGTGGTGCCGATGCTGCTGGTTCATGGGCCTTAATGTTAACAGGATGCCAGAGGGCACCTTGAATTGCCTTCAATGCAGTTTGATGTAGAAGTTTCTAATATAAAGGGTTTATTTGTTTCCTCCTATTTTTGTGAGAATGAATGAACCAAAACTTATGTCGTTTATTCTTTTCCACACACAGTATAGCACCTTTTGGGCTCTAATGGTTGGTTGTTGGTTTGCTTCAGTTTATGTTGTGTGCCAATTGATGGAGGATCTGAAGTGGCTATGGCATGAAAACAGAATATATATATTAGGTAGGTAATTTTTAAAATATACATATATTATTGATAATGCTGAAAGTATAACTAGAGCCTTCCTTTGGAAACACGTTTCTCTCCAGCATCTAAATTTTCCTTTTGAACTAAGGAGAAGTACTGTTAAAAACATTTTATTTTATTCCCACGGTTGATGATTTCAGTTCATTAGATCTAATTTTGTTTTAAGTTTATTTATTTTGAGAGAGACCGAGAGAGCATAGTGGGGGAAGGGCAGAGAGAGAAAGAGAGCGTCCCAAGTAGGTTTCTCCCTGTTAGCACAGAGCCTAATGGGGGGCTCAAACTCAACGAATGGTGAGATAACAACTGGAGCCAAAATCCAGAGATGGATACCCAACCAAATGAGCCACCCAGGTGCCCCTTTTAGATCTCATTGTGGACTTATCTCCCAATGACATCTCTTTCAGTTTTCTGTACTAATGATAAAAAGAGCAAAAAAGTATTTGTCCCTTTTGACTGCTTTTATGCTTTTGAATTGTGGCTCTCTCTCTTTTTTTTTTTTTAATATTTTATTTATTTTTGAAAGAGAGATAGAGACAGCATGAGCAGGGGAGGATCAGAGAGAGAGGGAGGCACAGAATCTGAAACAGGCTCCAGGCTCTGAGCTGTCAGCACAGAGCCCGATGCGGGGCTCGAACCCACGAACCGTGAGACCATGACCTGAGCCGAAGTCGGACGCTCAACCGACTGAGCCACCCAGGCGCCCCGAATTGTGGCTCTCTTAATGTATTCAGCATGAACGGTGAAAAATCCTGACTATAAATGACTAATGAAAATTTGAATTTTCAGAAACAGAAAGACTATTCAGAAACCACTTGTTCTTATTTCCTGAAAGCAAAAACAACTTTTTTAAATTATTTGTTTTAATTGGGGAATAATGGAGAATGGAAGGGTCAGCTTTCTCCTAACGCCTTAGCACCAAGCTTCTCACATAAGTCCACCCACCCAAAACAGAAGCAATCAATTTTTTGTTTTACTTGAAGATTTTTATGTCTTTAGCTCATTCTTCTTTTTATGCTTAAGTGTTTTTAAAGTAAATTACAAATATCATGGTATATTCTTCTAAATATTTCAGTAAGCACTTCTAAAAAAAAGCATTTTCTTCTATAGTTAAATAACTGTTAAGTCTTAAAAAAAATCAATAATTACATAAATTACTCAGGCCATCTTCAGATTTCTTAAGCGTTCTTGATGGTTGGGCTGTATAAGGTAGGATATATATAGTTCAGAATCATATTTTGCATTTATTATGTCTTGTAAGTCTCTTTAAATCCATAACAATTCCTTTTTCCATCATAGCGCTCTGCTGAAGAGACCAATCTAGTTGTCCTATAGAGTGTCCAACTTTCTGGATTTTTCTGATTACTCCTTTGTGGTATAGTTTAACTTGCTCCTCTTTTCCCTCTCTTTCCTAAACTGGAAAGTAGATCTTGAGGCTTGCCTAGCTACAAGTGAAACATTTTTGATAGACTACATAAGAGGAGACGTGCATTTCACATCAGATCACAGGAGGAGATGCAGAATGTCTCATTATCCTACCATTATTAATGTAGAAAGTGGGCGCTGTATAGACTGATCCCTCCACTATATTTTCCTTTTTTGACTATAAAGTAAAAATGAAAAATAGGGTTTGTAGCCCACTGTGACATATGCTGAGGCTTATTCCTGACCAAAGCAGCTACAGTAACATTTGCCCATCTAGGACTCTGAACTAAAAAAAAAAAAACCAAAAAAAAACCACCACATATCATAATAATTTATTATTAAGCATTCTTAATTACAAAAAGTCCACATAGTATCTCACATTGAAGGAATAACTAGTCCTCTGTGTTTTTCAGCGTGCGTTCTTTGGAAACAGAAAACACAAATGGAGGTTTTCCAATATGTTCTTAGCTTAGTCAAGGCTCTGCCAGGATCTTTCACACAACTTTTCAGGTTCAGATTTTCAAGTTCTTCTGCTTTTACAGGCTATGTCTCAGTAGTTGGATCTCTCAGCTTTGCTGTTTGCTACAAGCATGGTCCCCTTGTTGATGAAAGAAGCGTGACTCTTCTAACGTGGACACTGCGGCTCCTCGCCCTGGTTCTGATCTACTGTGGGGTCACAGTGCCCCAGGGCTCCTATGCAGCTCTGATCCTCATCCTGGCCTCCAGGAGTCTATGCTACCCACTGAAGGCATTCACTTATATGAGGTGGTGTGTATCTTTTTTCTCCTTGTAATTGTGACATTTTGAACTCTGGTTTTACTTATTTGGGGATGTTTCTTGGACGTGTCATATTTCGTCTCACAATTAACTACATTTCATCTGGGGATCTGAGAGAGAAGGAAGATAGAGAACTAAAGCGTCTAATTCCATCTCCATTTCTAGTCTTCATTAATCTTTCAGAGGTCTTCCCCCAATTACTAGGTAATTACAGCTCACCAAGAACTTACTGGGATCAGGGGCACGATTACTTGGGTTCTGGGTTGCCTAAAATTTCTACTTTCATTCTACATTTCCTTTCCTGAGGGCCCAAGATTGCTTTAAAGGTATTTGTTGTGCTTAGGACTTTTTTTTTTTTTTTTTAGGTATTAAGTTAAGGCTTACGCCCTTTAAAAATACAGAAAGAGATGAGGGAGCTTCTGTTGTCAAAGCTGTATTGTGTCTCTCCTTAGTCACTGAGTCTGAACACCTGTTTTTGTGTGTCAGATGCACAGATGGAGACAGTCCCTACCCTTGAGGGGTACATGCTGAGACATCAGCATGCATTTCTGTATCTTTGGAGTGTTAACATATACCTGTTCAGGGACTATAGCACATGGAGAGAGTTCAGGAGAGTTCCTGAAAGAGATGTTACTGGGCTGAATCTCAATGAATTAAAATAGTCAGGTGAATAAATGTGGGAAGGACCTCCGTGACTGGCTGAAAGCCCAGTCTGGCAGCATCATGAGGCAGGTGAACAAGGTGGCCGTCGGTCAGGTCATAGAGGCCTCACAGGCTGTGTTAAGGAATCTAGTCTGATCCTGTGCATAGTGGAGGCAAGAAGGCATTCTGCAATTCAGTCAGCATTCTCTGCCTGCTGCCTAGGCCAGAATTACAGATCCAAATGCTTAGGGCTGGTCCTGAGTGAGTGATGCTGAGCAGGGGGAGGCAGTGGGACCATCCTGAGGACTGTGCGAAATTCTACAATGCAGCCTTATCAGAAAGGGGGCAGTTACCAGTCAGCGTGAGCTGATTATTCCCATGTAGGAATATGGGCCCTGCCTTACCAGATCTGGGTTGTTGTTGGTGGTTTGGTTTTTTTTTTTTTTTGTCTTTTTTTTTTTTTTTTAGAAAAGCTGGGAATATGGATTTGAATGTGAATTCTTACTATTTTTAAATGTTGGCAACTAATCTAAAAATAAAAATACAGTTAACAAAATCAAAGCAGAGACCATGTACATCACTGGGTGGCAGAATGTAGCCCATCTGCCTTCTGGCCCAGAGAGTGGGAATAAGCGGGAGGCCCTGGGACAGTGACCTCGTGGCAAGAGGTGATGAGGGCCCAGAGTAGGGCAGTGAGACAGGGAGTTAATAAAGGTTTCTGCGGTAAACCTGGCTGAGAGGAAGGAGACTGGTAACTGGTAGTTTATGGATCTGGTACTGCATACGTGACCAGTGACAGGGCAGGGCCCTTGTGCTGACAATATTGGCAAGGCTGGAAGGCAGCGAGGCTGGGTCAGTGGGGCTGCTGCTAGCCGCTCTCTGCACTGCCTCGGAGGCCAAAGGTGACTGGGACTACCAGAGCTCCCTCTGCTAGGGGGAGGCTCGCCGTCCACATCCCCCACGCCTGGGTCCTTTGCCAGGCTTGTGTCTTGAGGAACGCAGGTTAGCACTTGGGCCCCTTTTGTTTTAAACATCCAGCTGCCTCAACAAGTGTAAAGTGTTATCTGCGTGATGGTCCTTTTATGAACTTGCTGTACATTCTGTTAACACAAATCTAGTAAAATGTTTTGTAGCTTCCTTAGCTTTTCATTTTGCTAGTGAATAATAATGTGAACAACTATGGGACAAAACAGGAACATAAATAACAGACCAGAGAAATAATACCTTGACATGTAGTATTTTAGTTTTACAAAGAAGTGTTTGAGTATATCCTAATATATGAGAGCTACCCTCTTGATTATCCTTTTGAACACTTACTGTAGGCCACTCACTGTGCTAAGCGCTATGCACAAAATATCTCCTCTGACCTGTATAGTGACCTCATGAGGTCGATGTTATTTTTTTTTTTTTTAAGTTTATTTATTTATGAGAGATAGAGACAGCATGAGTGGACAAGGGGCAGAGAGGAAGGGAGACACAGAATCTGAAGCAGGCTCTGTGCTGAGCTGTCAGCACAGACCCCAATGTGGGGCTCGAACTCATAAACCATGAGATCATGACCTGAGCCGAAGTCAGGTGCTTAACCAACTGAGCTACTCAGGTGCCCCGTGAGGTAGATGTTATTGCTTTCACTTTGTTCCTATGAGCAAAGTGAGGGTCCGAGCTGTTAATAATTGCCTCAGTTGATACAGTGGGTAAAATGCAAAGCCACAACTGTACCTCAGTCTTCTGCTCAGAGACCAGAGGCTTTCTTCTAGGGAGACCAGGCTCGGTGTTCAGCAGAGGAGAAGGAAATAATGTCAGTGGTTCCTCAATCTGACTCCTCAACCACCACACAGTCTTTAAAAGACTTTTCATATCCCAACACTCAAGAAAATGTATGTTTAGCCACCTCCTGGTAATTCTTATACTCTTCCAGATTTGGAAATCTCTGGTTAAATTTTAAACTATCCAAGAACAATTTAAAAAAAACTCATTGATAAATGTAACATAGGTGTTAAAACCTTATCATTATCATCTTTATGAGATTCTCCCCTTTAGGACTTTCCTGATTGGGAAAAAAAAATTCCAATCAGGAGCCCCTTAGCATTTAGCAAAGGAGGAATTATAAATTATTGTACACAAACAACCCTTGTACCATATTTACTCCCTCTGTCTAGGATTAGTCAGAATCACCACCACTAGGTGGAGGTGATATCCCACAAATCTTCCTTTTTTTTTTTCTTTTGGTCTAGCAAGTAAGTGGCCATGAATTCTACCAGATTCTCTGTAAAAGAGCATTTCTAAAGATTTGCTTCTGTTAGTGCCCAAGATAATGAGCAGGCCAAGCATAGGGAAACCAGACTTTTAATGGTCTGATTGTGCAATTAAAAATTACTGAACATACAGTGAACATGTCTATCAGAAATTGAGCCTCAAATTCCTAAGAACGTTATTTAGGATGGTCCAGGAAGAGAGGAAATGTACTAGTAGGTCCAAACCACATGTTCTGTATACCATGGTCCCAATAAGAACTATAAAAAAGTATAGTGTGGTGTCAAGGAAGTTAAGTATTACTGTTACTTTCTAAGAAATTTTTTTTAATTTTTTATTTAAAAAAATTTTTAATGTTTATTTTTGAGAGAGAACAAGTGAGAGAGCGAGCGCACAAACAGGGGAGAGGCAGAGAGAGAGGGAGACACAGAATCCAAAGCAGGCTCTAGGCTCTGAACTGTCAGCATATGAACAGACATGAACAGTACTTGAACAGACACATGAAACGATGCTCAACATCACTCATCATCAGGGAAATACAAATCAAAACCACACTGAGATACCACCTCACACTGGTCAGAGTGGCTAAAAATGAACAAATCAAACTATAGATGCTGGTGAGAATGTAGAGAAACAGGAACCCTCTTGCACTGCTGGTGGGAATGCAAACTGGTGCAGCTGCTCTGGAAAACCGTGTGGAGGTTCCTCAAAAAATTAACAGTAGAACTCCCCTATGACCCAGCAATAGCACTGCTAGGAATTTACCCAAGGGATACAGGAGTGCTGATGCATAGGAGCACATGTACCCCAATGTTCATAGCAGCTCTCTCAACAATAGCCAAAACATGGAAAGAGCTTACATGTCCATCAACTGACGAATGGATCAAGAAGATGTGGTTTATCTACACAATGGAATACTACATAGCAATGAGAAAGAATGAAATCTGGCCATGTGTAGCAACATGGATGAAATTCAAGGGTATTATGCTAAGTGAAATGACAGATACCATATGTTTTCACTCATATGTGGAACATGAGAAACTTAACAGACCATAGGGGAAGGGAAGGGGAAAAAATAGTTAAGGAGAGTGAGGGAGGCTAACCATAAAAGACTTTTAAATACTGAGAACAAACTGAGGGCTGATGGGAGTGGGGCAGAGAGGACAATGGGCGATGGGCATGGAGGAGGACACTTGTGATGAGCACTGGGTGTTATTTGGAAACCAACCTGACAATAAACTATAATAATTAAAAAAAAAAAAACCTGAGGGGCACCTGGGTGGCTCAGTCAGTTAAGTATCTGACTTTGCCTCAGGTCATGATCTTAAGAAATGTATTTTTATAAATCTTAAGGGTTGAATTGAGCAGTCACATATGACCAGGAGTCTAGCAACCAAATGCCACATGTTTTAGGAAAATGAAGAAATGGTGGACCTCCGAGAAGCCTGTGGTGAAGTATCTCACTGAAGATGAATACCGGGAACAGGCCGAAATGGAGACGAGTAGCGCCCTGGAGGAGCTGCGTGGAGTCTGCCGCAGGCCCAACTTCCCCACGTGGCTGGTTGTCTCCAGACTGCAGGCTCCGAACAAGTAAGCCCTGCTCTGCTGCAGGGACCACACTGGGGCTGGGATGAATGTGAAGATACTGTGGCAGTGGTTACGGGCACTTCATATTAGGAACAGACTGCCGCCCAGGTGATCCATGATGTGGAAGCTGTCAGAAGCCCTGCTCTTTCTTCAGTGCTCTGACTGGCACAGAGCTGCTAGTGTCAGGACAAATAGTGATCTGACCTTTGATAAGGAAAGTCGTAAACATAACTTCCATGTGAGAAGTCACTGGTGTGAAAGTAATTTTCAAAGCTTACCAGGAAAGACCTCTTTGTCCCCAAATCATTTTCCTTACTGCTTCCCTTCCTTCATAGCTTTATCTATTTAAAAAATTCTTCTTTAATGTTTGTTTATTTTTAAGAGAGAGAGAGACCAAGAGAGAGACAGAGTATGAGCTGGGGAGGGGCTGGGGGGGGGGGGGGCACAGAATCTGAAGCAGGCTTCAGGCTCCGAGGTGTCAGTCCAGAGCCTGAGCAGGGCTCAAGCACACAAACTGTGAGATCATGACCTGAGCCGAAGTTGGCTGGGCTGCTTAACCTATGAAGCCATCCAGGCGCCACCTTCATAGCTTTATCTAAATAACAATACCCTCAAATTAAACATTGAAGGGGGAAAGTATTGAGGTACTAAAATAATGAATAATGACTCTAATAAGAGAAAAGGAATTAGAAAACAGGAGTGGTTAGGATTGGCAGCACTCAGTACTTGTAAGTCAACCTCCTTCTCTGCTCTTTCCCTGAATATCTCCAGAAGGATCACATAAGCCATTACCTTTTATACCCCCAGTGTATAAATATCATTCTCTATTGATGTAAAGTCAAATTTAATTAAAAAGAAGATAAATAGCAAGAGAACATGTTATCTTCTGAATAAATCTTCTATGATAACATTAACTTGATTTAAAACAAAAAACTACTTATTAGATTTGCAGACTTTGTTCTTGGAGGAAGCCACTTGTCACCTGAAGAAATTAGTCTGCATGAAGAACAATATGGTTTTGGGGGTGCCTTCTTGGAAGAACAGCTTTTTAACTTGAGGACTGCCTGATGACCACCTGTGCATTGACTTCATTCTAGACAAGAAGTGGGTTAAGGGCAAGGATCCTATTAACATTGGGCAGAACTATCCTAGGAAACAGTGGAAAAAACATTTGCTTATGGAGAAGAGTCATACTGGAAAGGAAAACTAAACACTGTTGAAGATAACTTCTCATTTTTGGTGACTTCTGCACTTATTGGAGTCATCAAGATTCTACGAAGAGTCATTACCACTTTCCTTGAATAAAGACTTTCATTAGGAACAAGAGAATCATGTTGATCTTCAAGGAGCAAGTTAACATGAACATTTGCCTTGTCAACACCAGGGTATTAAATCTTCCCTGAACCCTCAGAACCTGTGTCTGAAGACTGCATTGCTCTTCCTACATGTTATCAATATAAGTGCTGGAAGAGACCTGAGTGAGATATGCTGGACCAGTGTTTTCCAGAGTATAATCCACAGGGTGCTAATAAGTGCTAGTCAGCAAAGGGATTCTGAGGTCAACTAAGATAGAAACAAAGTTAAACAAAAGTACTGCTGGACTTCTCAGAGCCTTTAATACTGCCAGTGCACATTGAATCTCCTAGGGAGAAATTGTGTGCAGCCATTTCTGACTTAATTTGGCCACAGAACCCTTTTTCATGAGATTTATATTCCTTGGAGTAGTTTGGAAAATGTTAATGATGGCAGAATTGAGGTTTGGGGAGGTTCAATAACTCATCCCAAACTACAAAGCTGTTTAGATCCCAAACTACAAAGCTGTTTAGAGGCAGCACTGGGACTAGACCTCAGCCCTAATGTTTCCGACAACTCAGGGTTAAGAAGACACCTTCAAAGGTGAGCCTAGGGGCCATCTCCCTACAGCCTTAGATCACATAATATTGATTTTTTAAAATTTTTTAATAATGGACAACTATCTATTTGATAACTATGATAAACATTTCCTAAGATTATATTTTAAAGCTTGATAAGATTTTTATAGACATATACATTTTAGAAGAATTATTTTTTATAATTTTTTGTATATTGAAATTGAAGAAATTTAACATCTTGTGACATTTTGAGTTGACTGGTCCATTTTTAAAAATTTAGTTATATATGTTTGTAACAGTTTCCTACAAGAGAGATTTGTGATCTGTCTTCAGAGAACAAATATTTTTTCTTGATTCTCCAGAGTGAAATGACCCTAAGCTTTGATCCTGGGGAAGGAAGGCCAAAACATAAGAGGTGAGAAAAGATGTGAACATGGCAAAACAATCTCCGGGTTAAGATGTGCTAAATTGATTCACTTTAAGAAGTTTTTGCTGTGATGGGTCCTTAAAGAGGCATACAGAATGAGGAATCTCTTTTTAATAGAAGAGATACGGATATGGAGGAGGGACATATGGAAAATTTAGGAGCTGCTTTCCTGAGCCAAGTTCAGTAGAACGTTTCTAAATTGTCAAAACGAGAACATGGTTACCCATTTGAAACTTTCTAAGTTGATTTTCAAATAATATTTCCTCTTTGAAGCAGTGTGTCAGTATTTTACAAGTTCCTCCTTTTGCAAGATACCTTTCAATATTAAGAGCTTTGCAGTTTTTGTGAAATGCACTAAATTCAATCTGTGCTTTCACATAGATTGATTTCAAATATCAAAGAATCTTCCATTCAAATTTATGATGATTATTATGATGACTGTTTTATAAGTGAAAACAGTTCTGACGTTTTCGTTGTAGTTTTATCTGAATTTTTTATAATTAAATTTATTGCTGGTATGTTATAAATGTATCAGATGTATCCATGCTGTGCTCACCATGTTCACCTCCCAAGAGGCAGTCTGTGACAGAATGTGTGTCTGAATAACACGTGAACAGGCAGCTGCAGTCCCCATGGGCCATCCCAGCCAAGACAGCCACTGGGCCTTACCTATGCCGCTTTGAAGAGGGGCTGGCCGCTGCAGAAGGAAGCCCTAGTGGCTCAAGCTGGGTGTGACCATCACAATAAAAACAGCTAGCGAAAGAAAACAAGAGACTTCCAAGATGCTGTTTTTTGGTGTTTATTTTAGAAGAAATCATGGATTTATCCGTTTCTGTTATGTGAGTACTATGAAAAGTGAAACAATTACAAACATTAGTTGTGATACATTTCGTGTATTTCTGTTGTGTTCATTTGATTTGGGGTTTATTATAGTGCTGATCACAGTTCTAATCCCCGTGAAGCAATTCACAGATGACTCCCATAGAAGAACTTTTTTCTCTTCTTTCCTTTCTCCCTTCCCTTCTCTTCTCTCTCTCTCTCTCTCTTTCTCTCTCTCCCTCTCTCCCCCCTCCTCCCTCCCCTTCCCTATTTATTTAAAGTCCTTTAAGCTGTTTAAATGACCATTCAGTAGAATGGCTCTGCCCTTCACAGGTGCTTAAAGGTTGGCTTTATGCTTCATACCGCCATAGGTGTGCAGTTAAGGAGCAGAACAGACTCTTTGTGTTATTGCTTATGCAAGGTGCCTCATAAAAGCTTACTGTTGTTAGCAAGTTGGGGCTATTTGACACCAAAATGTGTGGGTGAGATTCAGCGTAGGGGGCCATGCTTAAACAATTGTATCATTCAAATGTTATTTTTAAAATGTTTTAAAACACTTTTTACATATCACAAAAAATACTTTGTGAATTGGTTGTACAGTTTGCCAATAATATAAGGGCTGAATCGGAGGGGAATGTCCATCTGATGTTTAGGACAGTATTTGAATTTATGCCCTTTTTAAAACAAATCTAGAAATTTAAGAGATTTCAGATTTTAAGAGGCTTGGAGTAGATGATGGATTATATCAATATATCTAAACATGTTGATAAATTAAGACCCCTGCAGTGTGTTAAGAAAAAGGCTTATTCTGTGTGAGATTATTTCCTAGTTAGAGAAGTACAATTTTTTAAATCATTTTTTTTTTGGTCTGTTATACATAGATAACATAATGGATGTAGAATTTTGAAGAAACCTGCAGTAAGATAGAGAGGTGTTTGTAGGTGACCCCACTGCTGCCTTCTGAGCCCCCTACCAGGTGGTATGACATTAAGGAGTTAACCACATGAGTTAGACAATTCATATAGTCTATTTAGTGACTCACAGCCCAAAATAAAACTGGCGTAAGGGTAAAAACATTTGAAATCATAAGACCAGCAGATTCTCTCCCAGAAGACAGATCTATGAGGGGTCAAATGGTGGGAAGAAGGTTGCTTGAGCACAAAGAGAACAAAGGGAGTTTGTTACATAATTCAAGTGTTTGATGTCACCAGACCAAAAAGTCTAACACAGCCCCTCGGTGGGACCCTGGCTAGCGTGATGAGGTACTTAAACTGTTGGCGAAGGCCACCCTTCCTTTATGCAGATCCTGCCAGCTTTTCCTCTCTGTGTCTGTTGTCATTGGCCAGTATTTCCACCCCCTTCTACTGGGCATGTTCTTCATTCAGATACGCTCTTAAAATCTTCAGTCTTTCTCTGGCCTAAGAATCTACTTACCTTTTTTTTTTTTTTTTTTTTTTTTTTTTTTTTT